ACTTTGGGACCCCTGCATTACCCCAAATCTCAGGCAAGCTTCTCCAGAGCCCTGCTACACCTTTGCCTCAAGATCCTCAAAAATGGCTGCTAATTATGCTTTGATCAACTCACATATAAACAAGTTATAAAAGCTTTCTTCAAATTTATCATTTAAGTGGAAGAAAGCTCACATTAAACAATGGAGAAGACTGTGGAAGCAGAATAGGAGCTGCCTCAATCCTACTTTGACTGCAGGTTGCACTGCACCCACCACTGTCTGCTGAGCCTCGTCTGTGCTGCTCTGACCAAATGCTGCCTCCCAGCCACCCTGTGCGCATGTCTAAAGGCCAACTCCCACAGCATACTGGGGAGCCCAGGGATAGTCCTGGGAGCCAGGATGGCTGTGCTCTCTGACCTAGAAGAAGGTCAACTCCCCAGGCGCTTTCGGACTACTTCAGGCCCATCTGCCACCAAGCAAGCGAGACACCCTCTCCTACAAAGCTTCTCACAGGCCCTAAGAAACAGGGCAACTGGGCTGTTTCTTTTGAGAGGGAGTTTCCCTCTTGTTGTCCAGGCTGGAGTGCAACCGTGGGATCTCAGCTCATCAAAAGATGGCTCATTCCTGTAATCCCAGCACTTTGGGAGGCCGAAGCAGGCAGATCACGTGAGGCCAGGAGTTAGAGATCAGCCTGACCAACATGGAGAAACCCCATCTCTGCTAAAAGAAATACAAAATTAGCCAGATGTAGTGGCGCACGCCTGTAATCCCAGCTACTCGGGAGGCTAAGGCTGGGGCTTAGGCAGGAGAACTGCTTGAACCAGAGGCTGCAGTGAGCTGAGATCCCACGGTTGCACTCCAGCCTGGACAACAAGAGGGAAACTCCCTCTCAAAAAATAAAACAAAAGAAACAACAACAGTAACAAACTTCAAAAGTCATTCTCTGTTCAAACTTACAGATCTCTCTGTAGGGTGCCTGAGTGAACACAGCACTCAGGCACCCTAACCAGTGAGGAGAAAGGCTCCTAAGAGTGTGACAGGACCCCAAGTCCTGGCTGCCACCAACCCATGAGGGTCACTAGCTCCAAGACACCAAAGGCAGGTGAGGTCCATCCCAACCTGTCACCAAGATGACTCTGTTCATCCCTAAGTCGATGGTGACGACCCCAGCAGTGAGGCAGGGAGCAGGGAGCAGGGAAGGCCCGGAGCAGCACCTCTGCCCTACGCTAGGCTGACTTCGCACAGCTCCCCAAAAGTTTTGTGCTTGTTCTTTTCAAATGTCACTGTTATCTGGGTGCATCAAGGGAACAATGGGTTAAGGCCTCTGCCTAAGTGAGCCCTCCACCTATGTCCAGGCCTCCAAAGGCCACTGCAACCCTCCCCTATGTTAGGCGGGCAGGCAGCCACTGCCCTAGGGTGACCCACCTGCGACCTCAGTAACTTCCTCATTGACAGAACCAGAGTTAGCTGCCACAACAAACACCTCAGTCACTGAGAAAACATGCAGTCTGGATCATGTGTGAAAAACAGAGAAAAATTAGGGGAACTGGGATACCTTGGAATAGTGAGTGCAACCTGACGGAATTTGCATTCTTCACCAAACGGGCAAACCCATTTCTGAGGTGGGGAAGCTGAGGTTCCCAGGAACGATATACTCCTTCCAGGTCAAATGGCAACAGTGCCCTCAGGTCACAAAATCTAAACTTCTAGGAATGTCCCTTGTGCCAGAGCACTGGCTGCGACCACTGACCAACAGAACTGGCAGTTCCCACAACCTCAGGGGTGGCCCTCTGCATGATGCCACTCAGCATGGGGCTGGACCCGCCAAACTCAACCCCTGTACCCACAGCACGGTCAGCGGCTAGTGGACTTTTCCCCCCTTTCCCCACAGATGGGAACCAATGCTCAAGACACCACCCAGAGACACACATTCACCCTGGGAGTACTCATCCTAAAATACGCAGCGAGCACACGCTCCCTAGGCCAAGGGATCGAGGCCCATGGTGAGAAAGTGCTTTCCTGTCCTGAAACAAAAATCTACACTTGGCCCAAATCTTAGAGCAACAGGGGAGTAAATTCTGCGTGAAAGTAGAATCGACCAAGATACACTAAAGAAAAGGCAAATTTGCTAGGCCAAACAATAACCTTTAGAAACAGGCGTCTTTAACATACACCTATCTGAAGAGATCTCCATCCCTCACACCATTTGTGAACATGCCAATTTGGGTGTCAGATTACTTTTTCCTTCTCTTAGCGAAAATCATAATATGACTATGACATTACGACTGTCCTAAGCTGTACATAACTAGTGCTTTTCCATGTTCTTGGGACAAGTGTGTCACCTGCAAAAATCTCACTAAAGTCATGTTTTCTCCTTTTTCCCCAGTGAACAGAATATAGACTCTGGCACCTCAAACCAGCAAATCACAATTACATTAACATAACAGTCTTTACAAAACTGTCCTGACAAAGAATATCAAGACAGCTGGCTAAACCAAATTCAGCAAACGTGGTGTACTTCGGGGTTGAAACACTCAGGGTCTAAGACTTAGCCTTAAGGATGAAACCTCTGTCCCCTCCCTTCTCCTACCCAAGACCTCCATGGAGGGAAGGCCTGGGAGGGGCAGGCCCTTTCACACCCCAGCCAATTGCCACCAGTCTGCTATTCCACTTGACACCTACATGCAGCTTCCAGAACCCTGCCCACCCCTAATGCTCCCAGCTCCGCCTCAGTTTGCAAGACTGAGTTGTAACTAGAATGAGTTATTAGTCAAGCAAGAGTTATTTTTATAAGTTCCTTCCATCTTTGTTCTAAACATTCTTATTGTGAAATATTTCAATGAAGCCAACTAGAATAATTCAATATTGTCTGATCAATAATTTGCCATTTTGATTTACAAAATTAAGTTGTACTGTTTAAAAGAAGGTACTCTGGTTTGGGGCACTGGTGATTTTACTGATACTTTTTTTTTGCTTTGGCAGTTCCTGAAATAACACAATCAGAATTCCTCATTAGGAATTCCGTAGATGAACTGCAGGAGGGCATGAAGAGATGGGGTAAATCTTTCATTTTTTAGACAGTAGCATTCAACCCCTTGAAAGCACCGCTCTCAGCACTGCCACCCAAACATCTGTGTGAGCTGTTCCATCCTCACACATGGGAATCACAGTCAACACTCCCACAGTTGTTTTTCAAGGTGCCTCCTCAACACAGCCAACCCTAAAACTGACCTTTAAACAGAAGATGGAGGTGAGTCCCAGGATCACTCATGACAAATACAGCAGAGATGCCCTTTTCCAAACACGTATTCCTCCACCTCCTCCCAAAAGAGAGAGAGAGAGAGAGACAGGCTTTACCTCTGCAGAGGCTCAGTGCAAGAGAACCCGGCCAGCCCCACATGGCACAGTCCCATACCTACCCAAGGGATGCAACAGGCACCTGGCCTGTGCTGAGACTGCCAAGAAAACATTTATAATAAAGCATTGTGATAGTTTACATAATAGACCACAGCTGTCAATCACCTTTCCACAACAAGATCAGCCACATTTCCTAATAAAAGGTCAATATTCGCATTAAGAGCAAAAGCAAGCCTTTGGTAAAACACTCCTGCAAACGCTTCAGGACCCCAAAAGCTTGTCACAATGGGCATCTCGGCAACCCCGGGAGAGCTGGCTTCCCAGCTGTCTCCTTCCCTGGAGCACTGCAGCCCCGCGGCCGCAGGGACACGCTTTCCCCGCTGCAGTGCTCCCTGCACCTGCCCTGCCGGAAGTCTGACCATTAGTCCTGAGCCTCACATACTTAGACAGGAAAATCTTTCACTTCTCAAGTTAATGCAACCCGGTCAAAGTGACCAATAGCTAGCTCCCTTCAGAGAGGGGACGCAAGAGGGACCCACGCTCTTCTTGTAGTTCCCACTACTACTGCCACCGCGCTGTACAACTGCACGCCACGCGTCACCACAGGCCGGGGAGGAGCTCCCCAGCCCAGCGCCCACCACGGCGGCTGAGGAGGGCCAGGGAGCCCCAGACAAAAGCAGCCTAGCGTGCAATGCTGGCCAGGCAACCTGTCCCATCAAACTTGAGGGGCCCCGAGGAGTCACAGAGATAGCCAACTAGACAGGAGCATGAGAACTGCCAAGCGGAAGGGGCGCCTGAGCCCCAGGCATCTGCAGCGAAGCCAGTACCACCCTGAGACCCCTGCACAGAGCGAGAGCATCTTCTGCCACCGCGCTCCCTCTGCTCTCCCGAGAGGGCGGCAACCAGAGTAGCTGGGCACTCCTTTAGGCACCAACGCAGCGCGGGAAGAGGCTGTGACACAACAGACTGAAACCCTACTCCAGAGCGCGGCTCTCAGCAAGGCTGCGCACCGGGAGGGCTCTCACAAGGTGCTAACATCTCTGCCTTCCTGGTGGCAGCAAGGAAGCCAAAGCCTTCCATCCAGACTTCCCCAGCCCCGAGGAGGGGGCGTCACCCTCCCCCCTTGTCCTCGCCTGGAGATTGAGGAGGCTCAAGCCCAGGGTCACAAAGGGGCAAGAAGGCTAAATGGGGACATACATAGGCCACACACCTAACTGCAAAACTGGGCAGGGGACAGCCGCTGCCAAGTGAGTCCTGCCCTCGACTCCGCAGACCCCATCAACTGGCCCAGAGAGCGCCTGCGCTGAGCCTTCGAACCCCGGCAGGGACACACGGGGGGGGGGGTTGGGGGGGGACAGGTAAGGACTGCTCCAGTAGGAGTCCTGGCTGAGCTGCTCCGAAACAAACCAGCCCCAAGGCACAGGCAGCCACCGCAGACATCAGGGACGAAGACGGGGAAGCAGGCTGTGCCGACTCCCACCGGCTCACTCGCAAGGAGTCACCTGGACTGGCCCGCACCTGGGCAGCGGCTGCCCCTCGGCCTGCTCCAGCCACCGGCCTGCGGGACAGATGACCTTAGCATTCCACCAGCGGAGAACTTCCTGGAACTGGCAGCTGGCGCTGCTGGGACCCGCCCTTCCCTCCCGCCCCGTTCGGCCACTCACCTGGGGGCAGCTGGAAGTTCTGGATGTTGGTCGGGTTCTGAGGCGGCTGCGGCAGACGAGGAGCCAGCACGGTGGGCGTCAGAGTGGCCCGGATCCCGCTGGTGGTGGCCGTAGGCGTCCGGGGCAGGCTCTGGGTCACCGCGCCGGCCGCGCCTTTGGGCAGCCCGGTGGGGGTCCCGGGGGCAGGCGGCGGGACGGCGACGGGACTGGGCAAAGCCCCTTGCATAGTTGGCCCGATGACCATGCTGGCCGCCGTGCTGGCCGGGCCGCTGGCCGCCAGGGTCTGCGCTGGCGGGGGGGCCGCCTGCACCACCGTCTTGGGCGACTCGGCCTTGACCCCCGGCGCGGGCGCCGCGGCCGCCGCGCCGGGCCCAGGCTGTCCGCTGACCCCCGCGGGGCCCCCAGTGGTCGGGGCGGGGGCGGGGACCGCTCCGGCGCTGCCCCCGTTCTGGGCGGCGGCGGGGGGCGGCGCGGCGGGCGCGGCGGTCGGGGGTCCGGTGGGGTGGCCGGGCGGCCGGGCCAGGGTGGTGGGCGCGGGGGACGGCGGGGGCGGGGCAGCTGCGGGGGCGGCGGGCGCGGGGGCGGCAGGGGGCGAGGGCGCGGCGGGCGCGGGGGGGCGCGCCGGCGCCCACGAAGGGGGACGTCTGGATGACAGTGCCGGGGGCGGCGGGCTTAGGCAGCGGCAGCAGCGCGGCGGGCCCGTTGTTGACCAGGCTGACAGCAGGTGCGGCGGCGTGGTGCGAGTTCAGCAGCGCGGCGCTCCCATTCAAAGTTTGCGCGGCGCCGGGGCCGGCGGGTTTGCCGGGGCCGGGGCCGGGGCCGGGCCCAGGGCCGGGGCCGGGGCCGGCGCGGGCGGCCAGCGCGGCGGGGCCGGCGGGCTTGGCGGGGCCGGCGGGGGCGGGCTCGGGCCCCGCGGCGGCGGCGGCGGCGGCGGCGGGCACCGGGGCGCAGGCCCCCGCGCTGCCCTCGGGCGGCGGCCTCAGCTTCGCGGCGGGCGGCGCGGGCCCTGCGGGGACAAGGGGGAGGCGCGGTGAGGGGGGGCCCGGGCGCCGCGGCCCCCCGCCCCCCGGCCGCGCTCTACCTGCGGGGGGCGGCTCCGGCGCCGCTCCGGGCGCGCCCTCGGCGGGGGCGGCCGGCCCTGCGCCCGCGGCTCCGGCCGGGCTGCCGCTCACAACATGGTTCCCGAGCGCGCCGGCGGCCGCGGCCCGCACCTCGGGCGTGCGCTGCGCGAGGTGGTGGTGGTGGGCCGCGCTGGCCGCCAGCTGCGACTCGAGCGAGCCCACCAGGTCGCTCACCACTTTCTCGTCCACCTCGCTGTTGAAGAAGACCTCGTCCAGCAGATCCGAGCCCGCCGCCATCTTTTTTCCTCGGCCGCCGCCGCCGCCGCCGCTCGGGCCGAGCGCGCCTGGGCGAGGAGGAGGTTCCGAGTGGGGCGGGCGCGGGGCGGGCGGGGGGCGGCGCGCGGCCGGCGGGGGGCGGGGGCGCGCGGCCGGGGGGGGGGCGGGGGCGCGGGGGCGGCGGCGGTGCGCAGGCGCGGAGGCCGCGGGCGCCGGGCGATTGGCTGCGGCGCGCGCTTAAAAGGCGCGGCCAATGGCTGCGAACGCTAGAGGCCGGGACGCGGGCGGGCGGCTGGGGCGCGGTGGCGGCGGCGGGGAGCGCGGGGGCTGAGGCCCCGGGGCCCGGGCGGCGGGACTGCGGCGGGCAGCTCGGAGGCCGCGGGGCGGAGCGCGGGGTGCGGGGACGGCGCGCCGAGCCGGGCCGAGGCAGACGCGGGGCGGTGGGGGGGCCTCGCTCTTTGTCTCCGCTGGCTCCAAAATGGCTGCGGCGGCGCTAAAGGGAGCGCCAGGCGGGTCGCTGTACGCGGTGGCGGTGGCGGTAGCGGTGGCGGCGGCGGCGCGGGGCCGGCCGGGCCCGAGGCCAGGAGAGCAGCGCGCGGGGCTGCGGGAACGCCGGCGGGGCAGCGCGCAGGCCCCGGAGCGGGTGGGCTGGGGAGGTGGGCTAGGGCGCGGCGGGGAAGGGGACTGGGATCTCACGGCGCGCCCTGAGGACGGGGACGGTCGCCCGTGCCCTCCGAGCCGCTGCGGGGAAGCTGGGTACGCCCCTGGCTCAGCCGGTCCGGGGCGGTGGGGAGGGGTCCTGCGCTCACGGCTCTCCTCACCCTCCAATCGCGACCACCCCCGGCCTTTCCCTCCATTTTTAATCAGTAAGCCAAGCCGCCCGGGGTGACTGTCCCCGCACCCAGCTGCTGCCGTGGAGACGAGTGTCTTATAAGCCTGTAGGTAAGAGCACGGCGCCTGCCAAGCACCAAACCAAGTTCCCGAGCGTGAAGCCCGCGCGTCTGGAAGTAGCTTTCTTTTTCCCTTCTGTGGGGGTAGGGGAGCAAGTTACCTAAAATAATGTTCCCAAGCACCTTCTCTCTAGAAATAATACCTCAGTGAAACTTCCAGTCCCATTTTTCTGCGTGTTTTATTTTCCAACCAAAAGATGGTGTTATTGGACATTTCTAGTGGTTTTCCTTTCTCCCATTTCTTCTTCCTAAGAGCCCAGAATAGGTTTCAGAGAGACGCTTCCTTGCCTCGGACCTCATTGGGGCCCAGAGGCCACAGGCTCAGTCTTCGCAGCTGAAGACAGCGCCGCAGTAAGCAGAGACCTCAGGACGACGAATGACGTTGCTGACAAAAAATGATTGATTTTAATTGTTTTAAGAAAAGAAACTGCTGGTCTCAAAAACAGACCCGAATTGGGCCCTACTGCCTGTTCGCATTGCAGCCTTTCAAATGAATGGAATACGGGACCTCAGCCCAGGCGTGTTCTCTGCAGCCGCAGCAGCCAGTGAGCGTGGAGGACGGAGCCTAAGAGAGGCGCCTCCCCTACAGGAAAGCAGTGTTTGGGGAAAATCGCTGTAAACGGACAGCTGGAATTTTGTACCTGACCTTTGGCTCCCAGAAGGCAGGAAAGGAAATGAATGGAGCATTCTGGGTATGGCGGAGAGGGCACCTCTGGGGGCTCCAAGGGGCACCTTGAGCTCAGTAGTGGGACAGTCTGAGTTTTCCAGAAAGAGCAGAAATGTAGAGTGATGATTAAATCCCAGGATTTTTAATTTTTAAGTGTTGACAACTAATTAGAACATTTATTTTTAAAGTAGGTCAAACCACAGGCAGGCTGACTGGCGCCATGCACACTTGCAAGGTGGGGCACAGGCTCGCAGCACGGCCGGTGCCCTCAGACTGGAGTCGGGGCAGAGGCAGAACGCAGGACTCGCATGAATCCGACCAGTTTCCAAGGCCCCTGCGTCCCAAAGGCCGGGGTAACTTTGAAGGTTCCCACGCCACGCCCAGGCCCAGGCCCCCACTAGAGTCCGCTGCTACTCCAGTGAGATTGTAATGAGTCTGGTGCCTTGTACACACAGTGGTGGCTTCTCTGATCTCCCAGGCCCTGCGGGAGCCGGTCATAAGGTAGTTGGGGCTCTGTAGGCTGAGCTCAGCCTCCTGCACTCACGCCTTTGTTGGCATTACTCAAGGATCCTCTGGGGAACCGCTCAGCCTGGCAGCTGCAGCAGCTGTGAGGAGCGAAGGGTCTATGCCCACCTATCCCAGCTTCCCTTGCAAGGAGGGTCTTGTGCACCGGGAGGCCCTGGGGGAGGTGGGAACCGCAGACAGCCAGGCAGCTCTATTGAGTCTGGGGCTTTCGGGAGAACCGCCTCTCTGAAGGAGGAGCTGGGGGGGGCGCAGGGTTGGGGATACCACGTGACTTCCCCTCCTAATGCGCCTGTGGTGAGGGGTCACCCTAGGGACCTCAGGCCAAATTTTCTTGTAGTATCTCTGTGTGATTTAAGTTTTGTCACAAGCACTTAGGACTTACTTAGTTTGAAAAAATCCCACCTAGCGTAAGGGGAATTGTAACAAGTGCCAATCATAAGCACTGTGTTTAAACCCGGAAAAAAGTTTGCTCCAGGCTGTGGGCAAAGAGGTGGTGTTGGAGGCCGGCAGCTCGGTGGGCCTTCCAAGTTTACTAAGCAGGTTGTCTTTTGCAATAAAATAGGGCATCAGACTCGCTCAAAATTAAGCTAATAAAAACATTGTTTTGAATTAAGTTTAAAACACATAAGAATGAAACAAATTAAGTATAAAGGGAGTCGTGGTGTCCCTGCTCCCGGCAGGCCGTGTGAAAGGTCTGTGGTGTTTGTTACGTAGCCTGTGCTTTTGTTGTCTGCCTGAGATCCTTCATGGTAAAACAATTACAAAAAAAAAAAAAAAAAAAAAAAAAAGCCCGTGTCTCACACCTATAATTGCAGCACTTTAGGAGGCTGAGGCAGGAGGATGGCCTGAGCCCAGAATTCAAGACCAGCCTGGGCAACAAAGCAAGATAGTGTCTCTACTAAAAACAGGGTTTTTAAAAAAAATTAGCCAAGCGTCATGCACCTGTGGTCGCAGTTGTTTGGAAGACTGAGGTAGGAGGATCACTGGGCCCTAGAGTCGTTGGAGTTCAAACCTACAGGTGAACTGCAATCATGCCACTGTGCTCCAGGCTGGATGACAGAATGAGACCTCCTACCCAACCCCACCCCCAAGAAAAAGGCATGCCGCTAGATGGCAGCTGAATGTTTTGGGAGCGTCTTCAGCCCCACTGGTGGCATTCCTCAGCCTTGCAGGCTCAGAGGGATGTCCATGGTCAAAAATAAATCCACACCCCAGGGAGAAACTCATGGCCACCTAATTGCTCTGCAAATGCATATGGATGCATTTCTCAACATGGCCTTGACGAATGATCGCAAACGTGTACCCTTCAACAACAGAAGTGGATTCTCACAGCTCTAGAAGCCGGAACCAGGGTGTGGGCAGGGCTGCCCTCCCTCCAGAGGCTCTAGGGGAGGAGCCCCTCCTCCATCCCTGGGCTTGTGGCCATGTCACTCCAGTCTCTGTCTTTACCTGGCCTTCTCCCTGTGTGTCTGCATCCTCTTCTCTTACAAGGACTCCAGTCGTTGGGTTTGAGACCTACCTAATTCCAAAACAGTTCATCACAAGATCCCTAACCAATATGTCTGCAAAGCCCCGGCTTCCAAATAAGGTTGCCTCCACATGTTCTAGTGGATGTGGTTTGAGGGGACACTATTCAAGCCAGTACATGGGATGGCTACTTAAGGGGAGACCTTTGACAAATTAGGAGGCACTTAGCCTGGCCCCTTCACCCCAGGACACAAGCCTGGGGAGGCTGGAGTCCAAGATAGTAGGCTGCAACCTGAAGGCTCTGGTGTAGAGAAGTCCACTGGTCAAGACACCTCCACCCACTGCCCTGCTTTCCCGAGAAAATGGGATGCTCAGATCTGCTCAGCCAGGACTCTCCCGACAGGAACAGGGCTCGGCCAGGCACCCACATTAATCAGGCCTGACGCGTGATCAAGTGCCAGGCAGAGCCTGTTGTACAGATGAGGAGGGACTAGAGCTTGAGATTAAGTCAGCAGCCCAGGTTTCATTCTTGGAAGGGGCGGAAACCTTGGACTTGGACCCAAAAGCTGGCCGAGTCAGCACTGTCCAGCTGACCAACCAACCCCTGCATCCATACACCAGGCACAGTTGGATGCCATGGATTAGACGCCTGCTTACTAAATTATAGTCAGAGTCAGGCCTGCTTCCTCCCTGAAATTGACCCAGATCTCCCAAGCGGGGCTGTCTGCAAACTCTTGAGTGACTCATTTACAACAGCCTCTTGGCTGACTCCCACAAATGGCTAACCATAGCCATTGTAGATGGATTTTACTAGCTTAACTCAAGACAGCAGTGTATTTAAAAGTTCAGGAGTGAATGGATTTGTCCTGATGGCACTCCAACAAGTCAGCCTTCCTGGGATGGCTCCTCCTTCCCAAGGTGCGAGCAAGGAATGCCCTTTCCAGGAGAGAAGGCTGTGGCCTCTTGACTCCTCCCTAACCTGGAAAGGTGCAGCACTCCTGGGATCCACGTTCTAAGCATGACGTCCATCCACGGTTTCTTAGGAGTGCTGTTGCTGCTTTGGTTAATTCCTAAAATAACTGTCCCCATATTCTGCTCACATGCTCAGTTTTTAAAACCCAAACACCTGGCCAGGCTCAGTGGCTCACACCTGTAATCCCAGCTCTTTTGGAGGCCGAGGTGGCCAGATCGTCTGAGGTTTAAGACCAGCCTGGCCAACATGGCAAAAACCCCATCTCTACAAAAATACAAAATTTATCTGGGCATGATGGCAAGTGCCTGTTGTCCCAGCTACTGAGCCCAGGAGGTGGAGGTTGCAGCGAGCCAAGATCGCCCCATTGCAATCCAGCCTGGATGATAGAGGAAGACTCCTCCCCTCTGCAAAAAAAAAAAAAAAAAAAAAACACCTTTCTGAAAACCTTTAGTTCCATTGCAGGTGCTTTACCAATAACAAAACCTGTGAATATATAAAGAA